TTGCTTGGGGGCACAGGGTGGGGGGTGAAAAGCTTTGGGAATGATTAAATGAAGTCAGATGCCTGGTTTTTGCACAGCTAAATCTAGACTGTAACTAGGTAGGCCTTTATGCTGAGTTTGAAGGAACTGCAGCAGGAAAAAGGTTCTGTTCACAAAGAATCTGCCTTTCTTCAGGGCAGGATTTTATTTTTCAGAAGCGCTCAGGCTTGTTTGCTTACTCTATTTCTTGGGCCACTGACAGTCAATTTGTGGGTGTATGTATGTAATCCTAGGTCAGAAGAATTATCGCTGTACCCTCTGTGACAAATCGTTCACCCAGAAGGCTCACCTGGAATCGCACATGGTCATCCACACCGGGGAGAAGAATCTGAAGTGCGATTACTGTGAAAAGCTATTCATGCGGAGGCAGGACCTCAAGCAGCACGTACTCACTCACACGCAGTAAGTGATGTCGCAGGATGGGTTGGACTGGCCAGTGCAATAAATAATGAAGCTGAACAGCCCAAGAGGGAGTCTCCACTTTGCAAATACTTTGGCCAGGGGAGTATAGGTTCATCCTCTAAAATGACAGAGAAGTCAGTTTGGACAAATTCCTTGTTACTGGCTAAAGTTGTCCTATTCTAGTGTTTGCAATATTTTAATGACACAGTAGATTCCAGGCATGCACCTTGTCTTGTGAAATGGCATTCTGGAGTGCTCATCATTTTGAAGAGAGAGGGGGGTTAGTTGATTTACACATAGTTCTCTACTGAGAACTGTTTCCACATCCCAACATGACTATGAAAAATCAGAAACTCCTCACTGCTGTTCTCACTGAGTGGCTCGCTGGTGAAGTCTCCCTCTCTGCTTGCAGCTGGGGTGGGGTGCAGCCATTCCCAGCCCTTACCTGCCTCCGCGTCCAATTCATGCACTTGTTCTCCTGCTCCTCCTGCAGGGAGATGCCCATGGTCAGGGCAGATCCCCACCCCCAGGTCCTCCTGCAGTTACCTACAGGTTTCTCCCAGCCCCTCAGCTTTCTGCCAGGTGAGAGCTTTTGCTGTGAGAACCTATCCATCCTGTTCAGTTACTCCCAATCCATGATCTTCCCTTAAAGGCTGCTTTGCCCAAAGCTAGTCCCTCTGCTTATTTTGTTTTCAGCATCTGGTTCTTGTACTCACTTGGAATCGATCACTGCTTCTCTGTCCTGCTGCCTAGGAGACAGCGTACCACAGCTAGCATGAGCAAGAGAAGGCAGACAAACTTGCTTTGCTGCTTGTTCTTAGAGCTAGAGCCAGGAGCGCTACTGCTGGGAGGTGTTTTGCACAGTCAGCTACAGAATTTGACTGTTGCAGTCTGGTAAGCCTCTGCTTAGCATTTATAGACTGAGGGTTGTTAACAGTCAGCAGTTCTGGTTTCTTTTTTGAGTTGTTCTGTCCCCCCCGTTTATGTAGGGTGGGAAGGAGGGAGACCAACCTTTCCACCATGGCAACATCTCTGCCCTTACCAAAACATGGAGCTTAACCAGCATTTGGTCTTACTCAAAAAATAAACAAACAAAACCCTTGTAGAATTCTTTCTCCTTTAATTTATCATCAGGAAAGAAAAACAGCTGGTTACAAACTAGCAGTTAATTCAAAAAGCCCGACTTTTGCCAGTGATGTTGGGGGAGGAGCAGAGAAGAGGGGCTTTGTGTATGATGTACTGTGTGAGAGAAAACCAAGCAGTATTTACACTTCAGTGCTGCAGTAGTGCTGTTATTTCTGGTCAGCTTCTCCTTCAAGTATATTGAAAGTAAGATTTAGGAGTAAGACGGACCCTTTCACCCCTCCTGTCACCACCACCCCACTATTTAATACAGTATCAGCTGCCTTGCAGCAGGAGCAAATGATCACTTTTTCATGTCTTGCAGAGAACGGCAGATCAAGTGCCCCAAGTGTGACAAGCTGTTTCTGAGGACAAATCACCTGAAGAAGCATCTCAATTCACATGAAGGAAAGAGGGACTACGTCTGTGAAAAATGCTCCAAGGCTTATCTAACCAAATACCACCTCACTCGCCATTTAAAAATATGTAAAGGCCCCACATCCAGCCTGTCAGCCCCAGAGGAGGAAGAGGAGGAGGATTCAGAGGAGGAACTAATAGACTCTATGAGGACTGAAGACTGTAGGATTAACAATGGAGTCTACTCAACAGGTGATGCCCTCTCTGGACACAAATGAAGAAAAGAGAGAGGGGAATTTTCATGGATGTTAAAACTGGGGAAGGAGAAAAAACCAACCTCTTCCTTGTTTCCCCAGTCACCAGTGTATGTCAAATAGGAGTTTTCCTTCTGTTTTGGTCTGCACACTACTACCGCTTAATAAACTGTCGGCAAAACACAATGAGAACGGATCACGCACGTACAAGTGAAGAGTTGCTAAGAAGGAAATGTGAGGAAAGGAGATTTTTTCACACACACTGTGCATACTTCTTTTCCCAATCACTCAGATTAATCCATCCAGTGCCGGGATACATGACACACCTTGCATAGCCCTTTGAGTAAAGAGCCACAAGCCAGAAGTGTAGTTGAGTGACTGCAGGGACCTGTAAGCCATCTGTCCTTAACTGCCAAAGCCATGACAATAAGAAAAACAAACGAAAAATGGTGGTGGCAGTTGATGTATTTTGCTTTTTAAGACTAACTGAAGGATGTGGTTTGTCAATGCTCAGGTTTCCTTCTTGGGAAAAAAAAAAAGCTTTGTTTTTTTTTTTTTTTAAAAAAAAAAAAAGCCAGTGAAATCAGCATTTGCAGACAAAGCAATTAATTACCCCACTACAGCAAATCAAACATTGGCTTTTGGAGAACAGTTATTGCCTCTTCTCACTCTAGTTCACTAGGGCATGTAAGCAGGTGAAGAGGCAAAGACTGTATCGACCCATTAAGGAAGAGGCTTACAGATGATCAGACAGTGTTTACAGTATATATTACTTCTTGTGCTGTAAACCTTTTACCACCTAGAATGATGGGAGGGTTTGCTGCTAATATTATTTATGGAATGAAGATGTATTTCATTTGGTTGTTTTCTTTTGAAAAAATTAAAAATGTGGCTCTTTTCTAATGTTCTTTTTTTTAATATTTACACATTTGAGAAAAAAAAGGTTCCTATTTCTGGTAATGATGCTAAGAGAAATACCACCGCTTTTTATTATCTGTCTCTCCCAAGCTTTCCCGGGACAAGATTATGGATAGGAGCAGCTTCATGAACAGACACAGATTGAACCGGTCGTTAAACCTTGTAGATTTGCTGCGTGGCTCAGGATCAGTAAGCTGAGCTCGCTTGTCCGGTAAGATAATTGGAGGTTCCCCTGGGAAAGAAACTCCAGTTCTCGCCCTAAATGGCCTAAGTTCAGCTCTACATCTCCCTGGACACCATTTCCTAGAGAGCTCCCTGCGTTCTTCACACCTGAAAATGCCCAATGCTTGCCCTCTTAGATCAGCAGGTGAATAAAAAACTCCAGTAAGACAGGTTGAGGGCTTTTTTGTAGTCAAGGGAAAGATATGTTGTTTGCAGTAATGCAATTTCTTCCCAAAACAAAAAGCAACCTAGAATCATAGAATCATTTAGGTTGGAAGAGAACTTTAAAAAAGAGTCCAACTTCTGGAGCTACAGCGCCAAATAATACCGATGGTAGAGATAACAGAAATTACAACCCTCTAAGAGCTTAACATGAAGCATTTATTTCAAATTAAAGTTTTGAAAAACTTGCAGGTTTTTAGTGGAGAGCACTTGAACAAAGGTTCTTAAGCTTCAAAAAAGCAGTTGTTCATTTGTTGTGTACATTGTTCACTGTTGCTTGGCAGAGAAAGGACTGAGGCAGGAATCTCAACACATCCAAAATATTCTTGGTTCCTGCAGAGCCATGATAAACACCAGACTAGGAACAGCTAAATTGGACTTAGAAGCAGCCACTTACTTCAAGGGATGGGAAAGAAACCTACAGCCCTGCCTTTTCCCCACCTGCAGTTTGTACTCACAAAATTTATCATGTGCTTTACCTCACCAGAATGAGTGACAATGAGCTGGGGTGGAAAGCAGTGGTAGGATCTTGTCAGCTACATGCACTGGTGCTATGGATGCTTTGATACCAGTTGCTTTAATACCCAGGGCATTTTTAAAGCAGCAGCACTTCAACAGACGCCTTCCAGTATGTGGAAAGGGAAGCACTTCACAGGAGGGTAAGAGTACCATTTAACTTCTGGCCTGGGGTAAGGCACTTGGGTGTTCATTTTAAATATGAGAAAGTTGGTTGAGTCATATTCCTTGACTAGGTTCCTGATGCTTTAAAAGAAGTGTTTAAGTCAGTGGTTAGGCTGATACTCAGAATGTTCCTCTGTGCCTTCAGCTTTCAGGCAGAAATGCCTGAGAAGAGCTAAGAACAGAGTACGTAACACGGACAGCTTTCACCAGTGACGGTGACCAGCTGCAATCCCTACCCTCGCTTTGTGTCCTGACAGCCTCTCATCCTCTACCAAGTAGGAGTCCCTTATTTCAGTTCAAATTCCATTTATATATATTTCATTTGGAGCTTGATGAAGAACCCAATACACATGCAACATCAGCAGGTGCTGTGGAACCAGGGAAAAGAAACCCTTGATGATAGAACTGGAATATTTCTGGTTTGATACTGGTGATCTGAGGTGTTAAAAATACCTTTCAAGATTTTACTCAGAGACTCCAACTACTGCCCAAGAAATACTCTTAAGACTTAAAGTTACATAGAAAAACTTTTAAAATCTGTATTAGAAATCTGTAAATCTAGCCTCTAACTAAGGATAAATTATCTATTTACACTTGCCACTTCATTCAGCTTTTGTTTATTTATTGCACAACTGCTGTTTGAAGTATTTTTCCTGATGCCCTTAGAGGATATTTACCTTCTCTGCAATATTCATCAAACTTTTGGTAGCAGCAGGACACTTTTCTAGTGACTATTTAATTTTATATATCAACTTTACACATAGTAGACCCTGTTTCTAATCTCAGGCAAAAGCAAGTGATTTCATCTTTCAAAGCCGGTAACAGAGGGAGGAATTTAAAACTGCTGACTTAGAGCTTAACTACATCACCGTCTTTCTCTGTCTGAGATGAAGAAGCCTGCAGATTGCCAGACACTCAAGTAATTTCTATGAACTCTCACCAAACAGGGGGATTTGTAGAATACACATTAGTCGTAGTCCCATGAACTGCTTTGATTTTGTTTGATCCATCATGATTCCATTGCCGTCTCCGAATCGTTGCTGCTACTGCCGGCTGTGGAGCTGCAAGCCGCGGAGTTGGCACTAGCCAGAACATGTCTCTCTCTGTTGCCAAAAACTTCATTCACTGCAACACAGACAGGGGATTGCTTACATGTTGCTGTCGCAGAGGCAAGAGCAGTGCGGCAGGTATAGCATGGTGAACATCACGGAATGGAAATCCTAACCTGGCGCAGTTTTCAAAGTCTTCCCCCTTGCCCCGAGTAGGGAGCCGAAGCTTACACGTCAGAACAATCTCCCACATACGCTACTTAAATTACAAGTCCTGTTATTTCTCCCCCAGAGCATCTCTAGAGGTTTCCCTGTGCATAATTCCTGTATCTAAGTACTGTGAAATGGATGAGTTTTGTAGAGCAGAGCATTAAGTTTAAATAACTTATTTTCTGGTTTTAGTCTCTGTTTTCCATCGAGCTCTTAAAAGCCTCCAAAAATTCATGCCGTTTAGTTACATGTAGCTATGACAACCGATCAAAACCAGTCCTCGCTTATATTCCTACAAGTATTTAAAAATGTGATACTTGATCACACAAGGAACATTAAGAAAAAAGTAAAATATAGGTACTAGAAGAAATCAGGTATTATACTTCAGCGACAAGAAAATAAATCATGTGGCAAACACCATTCTCCAAGTTAGAAAAAACCCCACATTTTTTGAAGCTGAAAAGGTGAACATATATGCAGTCTTGGAGTACTTAAAAATATTAACCTACAGTTTCTCTCAGAGCCACAATACATAACTGAATATACAAATACACCCTGGGGGGAAGGGGAGAAGCACAAGATTCAAAGAAATGAGAATATTACCTGCAGAAATCTTGCTTATATCCCAGACACGCAGCCCTTCTCGCTCTCCTCCAAAGGCAAAAACAAATGGGGAGTCAGGGCAGCAAGCAGCACAGAAAAGAACACCCTGGGAGGGAGGAAGAAAGAGGAGGAATTTTTTTTTTTAAAAAAATACCATCCCAAAATGAATTTGTCATCTGAAAATACTTTCATCAAGCAAGTTTTAATAAGTTTACAAAATAAGTTTCACAAAACTTAGCTTAAAGACACAAAATTGAAGTCAAGAGCTGCTAATTAAAAACAGTAAATCACATCTATGTCTTTAACCTGGCACATACACATTGGAGTACCAATAGTTCTGCTCAGAACATTATCTCTGGTATCTGAGTTTGAGGCTTTGAAGCAGTCTGCCAATTACAAGTTGAACTGAATACTGCACTGAAGTGAGAATGATTTACCCAGAATACATGGATGTGATTATTTTTTTTCCTAAAAGATACTATGTTAGGTAAAACAAGATTCAAGCTAGACAAAAAACAATAAGCAGACATAGTTTATATATAAAAGTTCTTGGAATCAAGAAATGAATATTACTGTACCATTTTCATAGCTCTGGAATGGATTAAACTTGGTCTGTCTCCCAGGATATCCCAAATTTTCACGTATTTGTCAGCAGATGATGTCACAAGGCACCCTTTGATCTGACTACTTAGTTGTAGCCCTGGAAGATTAAGAGCGCAGCAGTGTGAGAGCCCCAGGTAACTACTATTTCACAGAGATAAGGATACATTCTGAAGTGAAGTCATACGAACAAACCATATATTCTTCTCACACTAAACTCTGTTCCAGCACAAAGGAGCAAAAAGTTAACCAAAGTTTCACGCTGCCACTGCTCCCTGTTGTGAGAGCAAACTAACATCGCATAAGCCTATTTTGTCTCTCAATCCAGTAAAAGTAACACTGCAAAGATGCTGTTGTTCTGCTTCTTACTTCACATAATCTGGCTTCCCCTGGAAGTTGTCTTCATTCATTTGCCAAAAACCATCTGTTTTGCTCTCCAAGACGATGGGGCATATTTGTATGATCTCATTTTAGCCAATCAAGTGCTTCAAGTTGCTTTTTAGAAGCTCCTGCACTGATCAAATAATTAAAGTAGCCCAAAGGAGGCAGTGTGAAAACCTTCCCATGTGCCATACCTAAATCATCTGCAGAATGAATATCAGTACAAAATAATTATGGACAGAAGAGGTAAACGTTATAGTTCATAATCCTGGACCAGACTGCATAGTTTTTGTTATTCCTCACCCAAAAAACCCACAGGGAGTGTGTCCCAAGTGAATAGATCTGTTTTGACATGCTTATTCATGACATGCACTGAGAAAAGTCCACTGTTGTTAAAATGCTTTGCTTACAATGGCTTCTGAGCAGACATTTGCTTCACGTGCCAGGTACCCATGATTAGTATGCACAACTCTTATTTGTCATGCAAGGAATCACTACCACCCCAGTCCTATTGGTTAAAGACATCTTCCAGATGTGACTCGCCGCTGGGGACAAACACAACACACACACCCCCCCCCTTACCTGACACCTCTTCATCATGAGCTTTCAGAGTAAACACTGGCTTATCGGAACGAGCATCCAGACAGTACACAAAACCATCCTCTGTGCTTGCCTAAGGAAACCACAGCATTTTAAAAACAAACAGCCGTAGTCACTCATTCGAAAAAAGCTCCTATGAAATAATACCCATCCTCTAGTAAATCCCTGTGATTTGAGACAGACTTACGCTGCTTCTCAGCAGGGCATATTACACAGCGTACACAGTTCTGCATCCCCAAAGTCAGACTCCATCCAGCTGGTGCCTGAGATATTCTACGTACCTAAACTATTCTGCAGGGACTTACCTGGAAATCTTAATCCTATACACATTTCTTAAATTGTGTTTTGAATATGGTGGCACTACTAAGCCTGGCTCTCAGGTTAGCCTTTAGTCTCTTAACTGTCAGTTCAAGCTTTTTGGAGCCATCCAGTGGCTGCATAACAGCCCTGTGCAAAGCTAAGTGTTGATTACGCCAGGACAGATCTACATCATAAACCCAACAGAACTGAGCAACTGCTTCTGTTGGCTGTATACACAAAGCATGAGAACTAGACAGCCATTGAGATAATAAAAAAATACTTGTTTTTAAATTCTCTTTAAAAGTTTTATTATAAAAATCTCCACGAAACCAAGGTATTTTCACTCTATACCGGATAGGAGGACACTGCCCTCTAGCGCTGATGGAAAACATTAAATTAATATTTAGGATCTTAGTTCTAATTAGTCACTTCTTGGCGGCAGTTGCCTCATTACATGAAACACAACAGCAACTATGCAAAGGAAAATATATCCCAGCCACTGAACACTATAATAACATGGCAAAGATGCCACCTCTGGAGTGAAAAAGCATTGGCATCAATTGCTTTTCTACCGTCATAAAGAAGATACCAAATAAGTAGCTGGTCTCTATATACTTTTGAAAAAACCTACCTAAAACCATCTTTCCACACACTGTATTTTCAAAATAAGCAACACCAACAGTCCAACTGTCCATCAGCTCCATTATATGACTCAGAAACATTATGAACACAAAAATACAGGTTAAATGAAATGGCAACAGTTAACAGACCAAGAACAGAAAGGCATGTACTCACTAAGAAATTACAAGGTGAAAAATGATTCCAGATTACTCTTTCAACCTGACCACTAAACCGCCATGTTCGATGGTTATCTTGTGGGTTTCTGCAATCATACAGCACAGCTGATCTATGGGAAAAAGGGACAGGAAATTAAAAAGGAAAAGAAAAAAAGCAGGGCAGAACACCTTATGAAGTTTGTTTCACCACTGGCATCTATAGAAGATCCATGTAAACTACAATTCAAAAATTAAAATGGAAACAATTTCACTAGTTAGTCTTCCAACTCGGTAAGATCAAAATTTCTCAGATAAACACAAGCTTTTTCCATATTGTTGTGGTTTAGCCTCAAACCAGGACATATATGCTTCGAAGGGTCATCTTGGTTACAAACAGCTGTTCTACTGAAACTAAGCAAACAGAGCTGGAATTTACTCAATGCATAAGACATTTATCATATAGGAGACCACAATTATGCAAATATATCACTTACATTATGAACAGACTTCTAAAAAGTCAAGTAACGACTGTTGAAAAATAATGCACTAATTAGGAAATCAATTTCTGATACATACACAAACATTTTCAAATATGCTTTAATAAAGAGAAAGAAAAAAATAATCTTTAACAGTGGTTAGGGAAATGCTACTCCAAAAAGGAGAAAGAGCGGATGGGAGTTAGTGGGTCCTTTGGGATTCTTTACATGCATGTGCTCAGCCCAGTGGCAGCAGAATCTGTCCCAACCCAAAAAGCTCCTGGATGCAAATGCAAGAGAGGAACGATGATGTCATTCTCGCAACATCTCACCGCAATTTACAGCCACAGTGTAACCCGCTCCCACTCTGTCCTATAATTAAACCCAAAGAAATGTGGTCTAGATTTCTCAGCTCTTTTACCAGGCATTTTACAAAAACAGTTTTAGTGCATAGGCAGCTTTTAACAGTCTGACTTTCAGGTTATGAAGGCATCTGCCAATATTCATTGAACAGTCTGTGGTCCTGCCAGGCTTTACAGAAAAAATCCACAAAGGCAGTCTACTAGTTTACAGATAGTACACTGGTTTATAGGTGCCCACAGGATCAAGGTGCTTGCTAAAAAGGGATCGAGAAGCTGGTCTCAGTATTTGGACTTTTTTTTTCCTCTTTTTACTGATGGAAGTCAAGGGGGAGGGAAGTGGACAGAAGCAGGCTCCTAACAACAATAAAAGGGTTTTCTCCAATATTTTTACTTAAGCAGAGCATAATAGAAACCAGAGAACGAAAAGACTTGGCTAAAGATTGACAGGTCTTTAAATATTTTAATACAAGGACAAATTCAAGTGGAATAAAAAATAGATATAAGAAAATCACCGTTATAGAACAAAATTAAAAAGTTACCCCTAGGAGATGGGAGAACAGAGGGGAAATTTTTTTGGCTGGCAGGGCTTACAAGAACTGGCAGTTATAGAGCTAGTCCAAGTGTGCAGACACAAACCATTTCACAGCACCTCCAGGCTGCGATCACAGGAGACAGTCTCTTAAACTTTGGCTATGGCAAGCCTATCAACAGAGGCTGTAGGGAGCGGACTGGGATTTTAAAGTCTCTCGTGCCTCTGCTCCGGTCTTACAGTTTGGCAAAACCCGGACAAGTTTTCACAGGAATGAGTAGTGACGCATTCCCAACGCAGAAAATGCCATAAGGCCAAATTAAGAAATAAATTCAGTTTGGAGCAGACACCTGGCACAGAAAATGTCATTCCAGATGGTTAAAGTATTTGGCTAGCCCTGAGAAAGAGGTAAGGAAAACTACATTTTGGCCACAAACAAATCTGGCCACCTTGCTGGAAAAAAATAATAGCATTACTCAAATTTGGCACAGTTATAACCAAATGAAAAAGAAAACCTGAGGCAACTTAATGGGCTTAATTCAATACTAATACTCTCCCTATGTGTAACATTTGAAAATAGTACGCTGACATACTTATCATAAGATCCAGAAATAAGGGTCTGAGTTTCAAACGGATGAAATTGCAATGTCTGGACCTAGATAACAGAAGACTTTATTTTAAAAAATAAGCTTTGAGATATAACACACATATACAGGAGCTTTATAATAGAGCACAATCCTCCCTCCTCAAAACCCGCACATTTCCTCCCAAAAAACCTTCCAATTAAGCTTGTCAATACTCAGATTGCTCATAAAACAGTGCAAGAGATGCACATTATTTTTATTTCAAACACACCCACTCAGTGGAAACAAGATATTTTCCAATATAATTTAACTGAACAGAACCACATGCCCTCTTTCTGCCCCAGATACTAAAAAAAATAAGGTGGAGGAGGTAAAAGAATAGTTGCTTCCACTTTGGAGAAAAATGCAGGTGTTGAAAATCAGGAGTTTGCCAAGGGCAGTGACTTTGTTCACAGCAAAATAAGGTTATAGCTATTAATAACTAACTTTCACATTTTAATTACTATGAGATGAATTAATTTCTGAAATACCCATCACTATGGTATTTTCGTATCATTTATTTTAAACCTTTCTTACCTACAACAAACCTTAACCAACACTCACTGTTGCCTTAAGAGAGGATTACAGCGTCACCTATGCTCAGAGATCTGTTTTTGTAGCTTATACCAGTACGATTAGATTCCCAACCATCAGGGCTTTCACACAAAAAGGCATTTTAAAAACTGCTGTAAATCTTCGCAAACTTTCTAAAGGATAACTAACATTTTTAAAAGCAAACACTGCGTTGTTCACAACAGCAACGAATTCAGAAATTTAAACTAATCTGCACCATTTTTAGAAAATTACAGAATTACTGTTCTAAGGCTTCACTACCAAGAAGCTAATGAAAAACTGCAGTGATTTCTTCTCTGTATTTTACAGTGGAAGAAGCATAGCAATTACTACATACCTTGTCTGTATGCAGCATCAGGCTGGCTGCTGGCTTACCCACAGACATATCCCACAAAATCACAGTGTTGTCAGCAGACGCACTTGCTAAAACATTCCTGATAACGGATCAAAAAGTAAGTTTTAAAAATCTTTATACAGATACAAACAAACAACAGTCAAAAATCCAAATTACATAAAGAGCCTGATTCTGAAATCAAGTATTCTCTGGTCTACAGACTATATATCTCAAGCATGAAGGATAACTCCCTGAAGGTAATTCTAAGTTACAAGTAAACTACAAACAGACTATATTATATTATATTAGTACAACACTTATAATAACAACATTGACAGTTTTGCTTGTATTTCCCCCCCAGACACCACTTAAAATATCATTTACTGGAAGATTTCTTGAACAAAACGAAGGAAGAAAGGCTTTTAAGCACTTCCTTTCCTTTGACATTAAGATAGTATATTTAAACATTACTTATGCAACTTAGTTCTGTTTGCATACACATACAGCCAAGAGCCAGACAAACCTGTTTTTAAAATATTTTGCTCTCTAATATCTGAGTATTTACATAACTACTGAAGACCCAACACTGTACACCCTTCACAGAATGCTGAAAGGAAGCGCTAACATTTTACTTAGCTTACAGAGCCCACATTTCAACTTAAAATTGACCAATTGTGTTAAGAGCAATAAACACACAGTTTAGAAATTTAATCAGAAAAAACTCAAAACATTCCCAAAGGCCTGTCAAATACACAGTACAATCGCTACCATTGCTCCACTGCTCTTAAAAACAGATCTATCACCTCAACACGTTGTTTCTGATTGAAACTGCTCCCTCCTCACCTTTTTCTTTTTACATTAACAAAGTGTTTCTGACTGAAAGAGCTAACATTCTCCTGGAAACACTGTTCTCCCAAACAATGTTACAAGGGAAAGTTAAGAAAAATGCATAGTGAAGGCTATGAGTTACAGTAATACCATTATGACCTACAGGCAGAAAGTTATTTATAGAGACCTGTCACAACATGTCTTGCTTAAAAAACCTAACAAACAACAAGAAAACATTTAAATACAAGCTGCTCCAAGGAGTTCCTTGTTTTGCCCATAAGCTTTACACTTCAAGGCTGGTTTTATTTCCCAAAAGATCTACAATTATCAATTGTAACTCAGAATATTACAGAATTATGCATTCCAGACACTTAGCCATAATTTTTGTGACTTGCCTCTATATTACCACCAGACAACAATTTCTAGGTACACGAAAGCTACTCTTTTGTAAAACTGATGGGATGATCACTACCACACTCTGTGCATATGTGTATAATTTAAGAACAATAGACAGCACACTGTAAATTAAGAGTGCAATTTATGTACATTTACTGTATGTTTATGTGGGTGTTTCCTTCTTCAGTATCTAGATAACAAAGCATGACAAGTGAAGGCTTACACCTGGTCATCAGGAGTGTGCGGAGTTGACTATGTGTATCTTCAGAGACATTTATGACAGCAGGAGAAAAAAATAAAAAATAAACGTCATCCTATGTCTGACTGGAAGTATTTCAAGGCCCATGCTGAGGATCCTCTGACAGCTGAACTGTTAAAACCCACCGAAACGATAAAAAACCAGCAGCATCTTTATTTCAGTCAGTACATTGTCCTTGACCTTTCCCCCAAGATGGACCAGCTTTGTGTTGCTTCAATAGCCGCACTTCATTACTAGTTCATTCAGGCAACGGAGAATTCTCTCTGTCTAGGATAACTCAAAGGTCAGAGGCATTTCTGTAACTGTGCTATTAGGGCCTTTACACTCTCTTTTCTGTTCACAGCTCTGGGGCAAAAGCCAGAGGAAAAAAACAGCACAGCGAGGACTTCCTTCTATAAATCTACTTCTATCTGTTGAAATGGTGGTTTAGGTCATTGGCAGATTGGCACAGATCAGGGCAGCACTTCTGCTTCTCCAATTTGTGCATCTGACTTAAATGCAGCCAATTTAACAATGGCTTAGATCCACCTTAGCCCTGCCCTCCTCTGGACGACCTGCAAATACATAAAAAGTGATCTGCAGTGATACATAGGTTATTAAAAAAACAAATCAAGACTTCTAGTTAAAAAAAAAAAGTATGTGTGTGTATTTTTGAGAACTGATTCATTTCAGCACTGCTTTCAAGTTCAATGTTATGCTACATAAGATTTTGGATTTGTGTGAAAAATGTATGCCTAATTAAGTATACAAATTTGTAACCTGTAACCATCCATTGTTATTCAAGTATTCTTTTACCTGCTTTGCTTATTCCACGAAAGGTCAAGCACAGCATCCGTATGTCCTTTCACTGTGTCTTCTGAAGATAAACTCTGTGTATGCAAATACAACATAAACAGACTTTTGAAAATTATAGCTTCAACAGCAATCAAACATTACAACACGTTAGTACGACCTCCTTAATGCCTTCACAAACAACTTCATGTTTTAAATTGTCGTCACTTGCTGCAGCAAGGCTTTTGATAGCACTGTCTCTGCAGCACCTGCACCTTGCCTCCTACCCCAGATCTCAGATGGCTCCAATCACAGCTGGTGGGCTCACAGAACTGGTTCTCCCTTCAGGCTAGTTGAAGAAATTTTATTGTTTCCATCTAACGTGCAGCTTCTTCATCTTCTTTCTAAACATTCCCTCCCTCTCCTCCCAATTAACTGAGCTTTAGGTCCTTGTAACTGCCAGCTCCTACAAATTCTAATTTTAAGTGGTTAAGCTTCAAAGTATACTGGGACTGCAACTGGAAACCACCCATAAGCCACCCCATTCCTCTTCTGCTCTTGATTCCAGACTTTAATTATCCATACAGAGAACAATTACCATTTCAAATTGAGGTAACAGCAACTCTGGTAACTCAGTGATTCTCAGAAGCAAATTTCACAGAACGAATTCCCCTTCCGAGGATATTTTTTCCTATTGTTTTTAAAACCAGGAGGTCTGAGAGCTCAAGAATTAAACCCCTTTCACAATTACACAGAGCCACTCTGGCGGTGTCTTTATGCATTCACCTTAGACAATCCTGATGACTAGCTTAAAATATGCTTAAATTTCAGCTAGATAAAGCTAACAGAGGTGAATCCTGACTAAAATGTATTTTATTAGTGTCAACTTTGTCCTTTATTGCTCAATGCGTTTCCAACTCTGAGTCACAGGAAAATACTAATTTTAACCTACCACAGACTGCCATGACATTACCTTCTATAACCTGTCTAAACACCATTTTCAACATGACAGGTGGAATTAAACCAGATTATCTATGATTTTTTCAGTGTAGGAAAAGTAGCAGTAACGACATTATCCTTGCTGTAAGTTTCCTACATCCAACTAGATAAACCATTTTACAATACTTACTTTCTTTCCTTTTTTTTTCTTCTTTTTTTCTTTCGTGCCTCCAAGAGAAAAGACTGGTTCTAAGGATTCTACTATATCGAGGTCCCAAATGTCAATAACCGGGGTCATGTTACCCACTGCAACATAATTTCCTATAAGCAGAAATCCAAATGCAGCCACACTTTAGAGTTACAAAACAGTATATTTGGCAATCCAGCTGTTGCTTATTTCACTGATTAAGTAAAACTTATACTTATGTGCCAGAATCTTCTATTTGAACATCTTTGATGATTATAACAGACAAGGAACAATTTAAAATTATCAACTGACAGCACATGTTGCCAGACAAAAATTTACTTGCTCTCCAATACACCTCCCCTTCAGTACAAGTAACTGTTCAAAGAAGCTGTATAAAGTTCCACATTTTGGTTTTTTTTAAGGAAAAAAAACCCCAAAACACATTCCCTGGGCTATGGAAAAAAATAATGATCTGTAAGAGACAGGAAAAAGGTTACTAAATATGAATAAATATTACAATACTGTAAAATATTATAATAATAAAAATAAGTAAATATATAAAAATTTCACTGTGTTTTATAGTTAATCAACTGCATTGGCCATAATGATTTTGAACAAAAGCAATCTTTCATTTGCAAATGGAAAATAAAGCAGAGTGGAGAAGAGCTTGCTCTGGTCTGCTAATTGACAATAACTTAATTATTTGTAATAAAACCAGTGTTTTAGTCAAATCGTTTGTTATGGCAGCATCACTAAGATGACTGTATCACCAAATCAAAAGAACTGATAGTCAGTTTTTCCACCTTAATACCTTGGGTTTATTTCTGTTTGTACCACTGGATGAAATTGTTTGGTGACAACATTACATTTATATACTCTTCAAGTAAAAATTATTTAACCGGACATTTACAGTACCCTTTGTAATTTACCTAGTGATTCATCAGGACTAGGATCAAAATTCAACCACTCCAGACACAGAGGGTAAGCAGGCAAGATAATATCATGATGCACATAAAATGAGTTTTCTTCATGATTATAAACTGAAAAAGAATTACAGATACACAAGACATCAGTGAAAAGGAAAAGCAAGCAACTATGAACAGTTCTCTTCTGCAAAAGGCAGAAGTGGTAAACACTAAACTGTCAAGGAGATCTAGAATGTAAATTTGCAGTGTGTTCAGTGTTAGCGTAGAGACCAGAGCCTCAAGTACTAACGTTATGCCCCACAGAATTACACAAAATAAGCGAACATAGTCCTGTGTACTTTAGATAAAGAAGTGACGAGTTCAGCAAAGCTTAGACACTTTATTCCTAGCATACTACAATACTTTGCTTGTAAGATCACTTCAAAACAGATGCTCTGTATCCACCACCACCACTTTCTACATTAGGATACATTAATGAAGGTTTAGACATTCATTTTTACAGAATCAGAAATTGAAAAAAAAAAAAATCCAGATGCAATCAAAGGCGAAATAAAGGTAAAAGTCAAACAGTTTTCAAATTAGAGGAAGCTGAAGAAGTTAGATAAAGATACCTTTTGCAGGTTGTAACTGAGATACAGGAAGAGTTTTGGTGAAGCAACCATATACTAAACACAGCAATCCCTTTAGCCAGCTGTTTTTCTCCTGATAATAAAACGATTTACTAACTGGATAGCAGATAAAACCCATTAACAATTTTAATAACATGGCATCATCACACACACAAAAATCACCATGCCGTTTTTAAGTGCATGTGATAGATGTTCAGATACTAACTAAGGTCTTCGGTTAATTAAGTAATGCTAGTAGTTAACTAAGACAGGGCTATCCAACGTTATAAACCACACAAGCCTGTGCTATTGTTTTATAAGTTTATACAGGCAAAATAACACAATTAACAAAATTCGTAAACACCTCTAGATACAGAAAATGCCAGATGCTGGTATCTGAAGAGATTCTTTCAAACACTTTGGTCTTGCTGTTTTCTTAAAACAGAATACTTTGCTTGCAGAAACATGTACCATAGCAGAAGTACCCAGAAAAATTCCCTCAAAGAACCACCGTAAGAAAAGATGGTAACTTCAGCACACTCAGTAGTACTTCTTGCTACAATAGACTTTTACACAGCAAAACTAAACCCATCCCTAGAACAAGTGGTATTTTGACATTATTAAGGATCGTCTCTTCTAAAACTAAGACGATAAAGGTGCTGATTCTTATTCTCCTAGCAGTGGAAAGCACATTTAAAGAAGCAAGGAGAAAGCAAGGAAAAAAAAACCAAAACAACCAAAACCAACAACAAACTCCTAGAAGTGTGTTGACTTCTGGAAGTGTGAAGCCTGTGTGACTGTCTGGAAGAAAGATAGTATGTTTAGAGAATTCAAAAGCCATAGTATTTTCTAAGTGTCGTTAGGAATGAAATAATGAAAGGAAATGATAGGAAAGGACAGCCTGATAAAGGCGTGCTATCCTCTAAATAACAATAAATCCACAGTAAATACTCTAGTTCTGAAAAGTGGCTAAAGCACTGTGACGTAAGAAAGCGGACAAAACACACAGGGCAGATGGGCAGAAAAACAACTTCCAAAAAGCACCTGCCCCCTCTTCTACACAGCTATATGGAACAGGCTAGGCAAGACATACTCCCTAGCTTCACCGTAAGGAACAAATCCTCTGTTACTCACCGTGGACCTCCAAACTACAGTAGTCTTTATCAACTCTGCCACAAAGGACAAGATTGTCACTGGGCTTAATCAAAAAGTCCTCCTGCTCATATTGATCCTGAACAGCAAAAAGGAGAGAATAACGGATGTTAAGCAAAGCACATAAACACGCAAAACTACACATTTTGAAAAGGCTGAATCAGTAATAACTTTTAACCACAACTGAAAACACTCAAAACCCAAGACCCTGCTGCCCACCCGCCTAAAACCTTCTTATAGTGGAAAACAGAGAAAGAGAGGAACTCTCTTTTTTCTTCTCTTTTTCTCTCTCTCAATCATGGGGAGACTGAAGGGCTCTTTATGTGGACCTAGGGGGATTTAGAGAGTTGTTTAATTACCAAATATGAAACTATCTTTTAAGGCTACCATGACACAGCCCATTACTGAAAAGAAAATGTGAAAAGAAACAAGCTATACGTGAGGGCACTAGGAACCCACATACATAGCTTATTCCCCCTGTGCTCTTAGGCCTTGAGCATTTATATCATGTAACAGCATTTTACACAACAAGCATACAGTAACCGCTTCTCACATCCAGGAAGCAATTCCAAGAGCATTAAAGCATTGTCTACTTTCTGGAAAACGTTTCCAGAAAAGTACTGCCTACAGCGATACTGGGCATTCAGCTGTACCAGAACAGATGTAACCTCTCATCTAATTTCCATTGTTGCTGAGGAATGGAAGGCATTCAGGGAATTTTTGTTAGTGGAAAACTAAGAACTGTACATAAAAGTCAACAGTCTTACACAAACAGAGTACCACCCTTCAAACATACAACACATACAAGACTTTTTGGACTTCCCATTGCAAGCTTTTCATTTCTTTTTTATTCACTTCAAGCATCTTTTCAATATGTGAATTCTATCAAGTCCTGCAGTTCTTTGAATTAATCAACAATGTTACACCGTACGTAGTCTTCAACAGTACTTGTAGTAAATACCAAAAGACAACATAAAATGCATGCTGAAGCACTAAAAAGGGACTTGAGCACAGGAAGAAAAGCCTGAGAAAAAGATGTTTGCTTTTTCTATGTCTGGCAGAAAGTTAGCTTTTTCTGACACAGAATAAATGCAGCTCATATTCTCCCTGAATCCCTGTGTTAATGAATACCTCTTTGACTATACAAATCACTTTTAAAACACTCACCTCTACCGGTACACAGGAGCAATAAAAATCATCAACCAGTCAGTGGAACACAGAGAAAACATACAGTGCCCCAAAGCGCATATAGCAAGAACACATTTTAAAGACAACATGTATGCCTTCCTCCTTGAGCTTTATTACAGTATGTGAAGTTACCATAACAACTCCTTGTCTGAGACCACACGTTTGACAAAGTCCCCATACACACAAACTCGACATTGTAGTATAAGCCTAGAGCTACTCTTTCCTTTCAATCTTACTAGCTTTGTAAAGAATCCAAAATAGCATAAGGACAGCATTCAAAAAAATCTCAGGATCTTTACACTCAGAAGATGTCTCAAAAATTCACCTACTTCATCACCCTGCCCCAGATCATCATAGTCTCTCCTAGTTGCTCTCTGGTTTATATCATCTCTTCTCACGCAACTTCACATTGTAACCAATTTCTGTAATCTCTCCATGTAAATTAAGTCACTCACAAGTTGCAATCTAAACTCTGAACTAAACTGCAGGATATTCTCTGGAATCCCTACATATCTTTTCTGAAAGGGCACACAATATCCTAGCTAAGACAATACTGATGCTAAGTAGAGCAGAGGGACTACCTCATGTCTTGCATGCTGCATCCCTGTTCACACCAGAAAAAGACAAACAGGCTGCGTAAGAGGACAGTACTGTTGACGCAGTTATTTTGTGTCAGACTGCAGCCAGAGACTTCTTCACCCCCTGCAGAGCTCCAACAAAGCCAGCTCCTGCAAAGATGTTCCCCAGCTGATGCTTGGTGGAAACTAATACAGGCAGAAACAGTCAACTCCACAGTATGCTGTGCATATATGCTTAACAGGGACATATTTCTTCATGCCATACACCTAATTTGACATGTAGCCTGAGTCCACCTCAGTTTGGTTTCTTCCACAAACTGGTGGAGGGTTTAAGAGCCTTGCAATCTGGGGAGTTTTCTAATTTGAGTTGTTATTGGCCTGAGATACTGAGATGTGTTACTTCTTCAAGCATTTTCTGTGTCCTACAAGACAGGTGACAAACCACCTCTGCATATTGAAGCACAGGGCTTAAATAATAATTCAGTTTGCCTTAACATCTGACTTAAATGTAAAAAGCACACATAGAGGGGACTGCACAAAGCAACCTTAAAAGAAAAGAGTTCTGTCTGATCAAAAACCTGGCAAAGCTTTGGAAGAGGACTGCAAGCACCTACAGACCCTAAGGCAGTCCGGCAGCGGGAAAAATCAAATGGGTTTTTAAGTTTATGCTGTTTAAGACATGTAACATTTTTACAGTACTTACAGTGGTTTTTAGAGTGATGTAAGGATCCTGATCATTGTTCCCATATACCGCCAAAGCAGCCAATGAGTCTTCAAGTTTTAAATCACCTAGACAGGAATTTCAGAACATTTTTTTATACATGTAGATGACAGGTGAAGTTAGAAACTCCTGCATCAACATCTGTATTGCAAAATATCAGGAATAGGCTAAATGAACTTCCAAGTTCCGAACATAAGCACCTCAGTAAGCTAAATTGCTTAGTGCTTTCAGGGACTTCTGCTGCTCTGCTCTGACACAACAGCAGGGGGAGCGACAGTCATTCCAACACTGCTCTCAGTTCTAGCGTCAGGGGGACACACCGAATTGTTTCACTCATGAAACGACTTCCGGAACTGGAACAAGCAAATAATTAAAAATGTGAATTTCCAGAATCTGAAACATAACACTGTGTAGTTCTAGGATACTAATTTCTTCAGTACAATAAGAAGTGAAAAGGTTCTTCACTTACACTGCTTATCTGACATTTAAATTCTTACCTGTGTATTCCTCTTCATCATAATTGTCCAAATCATACTCATCCAGTTCATCATCAGAGAGATCTTCATTTTTACGAGAAGACTTAGCTCTGCCACATGCCATCTGGCCTTCATTGCTATCATCAGCACCATCCCTGTTAAAAGATACACATCCCTGAGAAGCTATTAACAGACATCTAGCATGCTTCCAGGTAATTGCTTAGGGGACTGTTAACAAGACTGCAGCACGCCATCCTGGCTTTTCACATGGGTTTCAAGTCTTTATGCCACTAGTTTGCCATTCTATTCACTCCTTCCAAACATTTCATATTATTTTGGAACAATTAAAAAACAAAAACAGAACAAGACACGTTCTGGGACAAAACACACTGTTCAGCAATAAAGGCAGAGATCCATCTACAGAAATCATGTGGATAATATTCACCAAACTATAAAAGTTTTTATTGCTACCTATTGCATCTGTTGAGTGACACGTGCTGTGGTGTAACCACACACCCTACACAGCTGAAAGAGATTCAGAAGCCAAAATCTACCAACAGGTCTAGGTGAAAAAGCCTGGAAAATGGTGTGAGACCCCAGTCCGTCATCTTCTAGAAAAAAGAAAGCCATTCCTTTATTGCCTTCCACAGATCATGCTTCCTAAATCTGTCACTTCTGCTAATTCTTCTCATAAGTTTATTTACATTTTTCTTAAAAGCAGAGTGACAAAACTTAACACAAGTACGCAACTAATGACTTTCAGTGACAAGTGGAGAGTTGTGATGTCTCCAGTTTCATACGTGAACAATAAATACACCCCTGGGTGACATTTTGCCTTTTTTTTGCCAAAGCACAAAATACCATGTCCTTCCGAGCCCCACTGTGGCCTCCAGATCTGCTGAGATGGTAATGTCTCACCCTCAGCACCCACTTTTTCACGGTGTCAATTTGGGACATCTCCAACACACCCACCATTACAAACCCAACGCGTGATTTCCTCACTCTGGGTGGGAACGGCCACTCCAGCGAGGACCGGGCCCCGAGTGGGTCCTCTGCAGACTTCACTTGAAACGCTCAGCTAGTCTGACATCACATGGTTCACGACGTCACACGACGGAAGAACCACAAGGGAACACAACCCATGTTGTCGTATAGTTGTCGCATCCGTGATGACATCCATATACAACCTTCATCCGATGTTTTCTCCTTTCGATTTGTGGACAGATGACCCTCCTGGGACGCCAGGCTCACCCGGCACGGTGGCGGCAGGAGGAATCCACGCTGGCTGGTGTCCATCTCCTCTGCCTGGGGCTGCTTCCCAAAGCCGGGCCTTCACCCCCTCCGCCCCAGGCCTTCGGTGCGGGCTGGTGCCCGAGCCCTCCCCCCTCCCAGCCCCGGGGGGCTGCAACCCC